GCCCCTTTTTTTAAAAAGGGGAAAAGGGGAAACTTCAAAAATTTTCTTTTTGGATCTAAAGGAAAAATTAATCCCAAAATTAAAATTTGTTTTTTTTTGGATTCAAAAAAATATGTATTTGCAAAATCTAAATCTCAGAAAAATTTGGGAATTTATAGACCTTTATTAGATCTAAATAAAGTTTATAATTGAGGGCCCTTTTTTAAAATATCTCCATAGATTACTTGATAATTCTCAAATTGTGAGGGGGTAATAAACTTTGTTTTAAAGTATAAATCTCAAAAAGTGGTTCCATATTGTCAAATTCTCTGTAAATAATTCCATTTATCTCATAATTTGCAGGGTATGATTTTTTTTTTGAGAAACCATCTATATTATTACTAGATCTCATTGTTAAGTGATATTATTTCTCATTTGCAAACTTTTGGATTATCATATTAAATATGATATCTTTAGGTTAATATATGACATTTTTAATAAAAACTTTATTTGTATTAAAGGTCTCAAATTTAAATTGGTTATCAATAAATCGTATTCTTTTAGTGTTGGTGAGAAATTTCTGTATAGACTTTTCATGTTGAATTCTGCTTAAGCCAGTGCTGGGAGGTGTTGACATCAACTTGCATTTTCCAGTACTGTCCATAACTTTTTATGCCCCCACAATGTGGGAGCATATAGCGTTGCACTTGTCCGTCCGTCAGGCCGTACGTCCTGAAATCTTGTGAACGCAACTTCTCTTAAACCGAATGGCAGATTTTGCTTAAACTTACAGGGATGAACAACCTTAATGTGTAGATGGTAGTAAAGAAAGGAATTTTTGCTGCGACCAAATTTAACAGAATTATGGCCCTTTGTTGATTTTTTCACTAGATACTATGTAGAAATTTTGTGAACGCAACTCCTCTTAAACCAGATGGCAGATTTTGCTTAAACTTACAGGGATGAACAACCTTAATGTGTAGATGGTGGTAAAGGAAGGAATTTTTGCTGCGACCAAATTTAACAGAATTATGGCCCTTTGTTGATTTTTTCACTAGATACTATGTAGAAATTTTGTGAACGCAACTCCTCTTAAACCAGATGGCAGATTTTGCTTAAACTTACAGGGATGAACAACCTTAATGTGTAGATGGTAGTAAAGGAAGGAATTTTTGCTGCGACCAAATTTAACAGAATTATGGCCCTTTGTTGATTTTTTCACTATATACTATGTAGAAATTTTGTGAACGCAACTCCTCTTAAACCGGATTGCAGATTTTGCTTAAACTTCCAGGGATTAACAACCTTAATGTGTAGATGGTAGTAAAGAAAGGAATTTTTGCTGCGACCAAATTTAACAGAATTATGGCCCTTTGTTGATTTTTTCACTATATACTATGTAGAAATTTTGTGAACGCAACTCCTCTTAAACCAGATGGCAGATTTTGCTTAAACTTACAGGGATGAACAACCTTAATTTGTAGATGGTAGTATAGGAAGGAATTTTGGCTGCGACCAAATTTAACAGAATTATGGCCCTTTGTTTATTTTTTCACTATATACTATGTAGAAATTTTGTGAACGCAACTCCTCTTAAACCGGATTGCAGATTTTGCTTAAACTTCCAGGGATTAACAATCTTAATGTGTAGATGGTAGTAAAGGAAGGACTTTTTGCTGCGACCAAATTTAACAGAATTATGGCCCTTTGTTGATTTTTAGTTTTCAACTTGTGGCACATGTAGTCCAAAAAATATCTGACCTAGAGTCATAAGATTGACAGAACAGTGGCATTTTGGGGCATCCGTGTCCTATGGACACATTTCTAGTTTTTACCAAAAATACTTTATTGTTCATTGCTTTTACTATTAAATAGATGAGACAAAGTATTAATGATAAATGACAGAAAAAAATTCTTCTTTATATTTATACTTGATGATTAAGTATTTTTTGTTTACATTTAACATTTTTGATATACTATTTTGAGTTATTGTTTAAATGTGTATAACAGTTAAGAAAACTGAACACAAATTTCATGTTGTTTTTTGTTAATAAATGAAAATATGTATAAAAAGATTCATATATATTTTAAATGCAGTATTTACTCAGTCATAAGACTCTTTGTGTATAAGTCGGGTCTAAACTTCATGTAAATTTTCATTATATGTATGTGACTCCCATATAAGACTATTTTGTCACACCATGTTTTTCTTCATGTTATCATTATCAGATGCTGGATAGATTGAATCATGTTTTATAGAATTGAATCAAATCTTGTAGAAATGTTATCAAAATATCTTGTTCATTTTCCAGTTACACGAGTGTTTTCCTTTTGAAATAAAGTGCATTTATTTTTTATAATTATGGAATATATGTTTTGTTTTATATGTAAATAATGTGACAATATGTGTGTTTTAAGTACCTTTGTATTTGTAAAATTGTGCCATCTTAATCAGTTTTTAAGGGTGTAAAACTATAATATTGAGTTCGCCTCATTTGGCAGAATGATTATAAGAATAAGAATCATTCCAAGGTTTTTATATTGATATAATGAGGTTATTAGACTAAACTATAGTGAAACATGGCAGTGCATGCGCAAATTCCTACCAAAAATAACCATGAAATATTATGTTGGAGAAAAAATTAATCTGTTTAATTGTAGTTTATGTATTAAATAATAGAGACACTTTTGAAGTTTTTCTGAAAATTGAGAGTATGATACTAAAATGATTGTTTTATTCCTCAATTTTTACTAGAATTTTTTCTTTGTTATAGCTTTACATCCTTTCAATGCCAGGATAATTCAGAAAGAAGAACTCCTTGAGAGGGTTGCAAGTCTTAAGTATCGGGTATTTCAAGTTCTTGTTGTATTTTTGTGACAATTTGATTCAAACCATTACACTGTGTATCATTTTTATCCACCACTGGTTGGGAAAAGTTGTTAGTGACTAACCACTGAAAGTCCTGGTACTAACGAACCTTTGGATATAAGTAAGACAACAGCATGTGGTTGAATGTTTAAAAAGCAAAAAATACTGTCAACTTATCAGCATAATACTGCTTAATTTTTGTATTGATGTTGAAGTCCCTCCAACTTTGAATGGATTGTTTCAATATCAGAGCAGGCCAAATACATTACAAAAATTCAGCTTTATGCTGTGGGTAGTTCAATTTTTGTATTGATACTGATATCCAAAGGAGGCCAAATCCATTAGTCTAATTCAGCATGTCAAGGTTTAATTGTTAGATATAGTACTGTTTGAAATATGATTTTGATAAGAACATTCTCATTGTCTCACATATATTTTTTATATGAATATAATATGTACTTGTTAATTAAGTTCAAAATCATTAAAGTCAATTTTGATATTATAAACTGTCTAATACATGTATGCCACTGCCTTTTTTCCTCATTGTTTTGTTAGTTTCTTTGAGAGTTTACATAAAAAATGTAAAAAAAGAAAAAATATCTTGCTTATGTATATCATATAATTTTTATGCTCCCCGAAGGGTGAGCATACAGTCGCTGCTTTGTTTGTCCATCTGTCCCCTATTCTTGTCCGGGACATAAATTTGAAACAACAAGAGATTTCAACATAAAACTTTGTAGGTAGATATATCTCATTTAACTCTGCCTTGCCTAATTTTGGAGTTATTGCCCTTTGTTTATTTTTACACTGAACTTTGTTCTGGGAGGTAACTCTAAAACTATAAGAGATATCAAGATGAAACTTTGTAGGTAGATAGATCTCATTGTGCAGTGCTAAAGAACCATAACTCTGTCTTGCCTAATTTTGGAGTTATTGCCCTTTGTTCATTTGTACACTGAACTTTGTCCGGGACATAACTCTAAAACTATAAGATATGAACATGAAACTTTGTAGGTAAATAGATCTCATTGTGTAGAAGTGCAGTGCTAAAGAACCATAACTCTGTTTTGCCTAGGTTTGGAGTTATTTCCCTTTGTTCATTTTTTAATTATATACTTTGAACTTTGTCCGGGACATAACTCTGAAACTATAAAAGATATCAACATGAAACTTTGTAGGTAGATAGATCGCGTTGGGTAGAAGTGCAGTGCAAAAAAAAACAACCCATAATTCTGCCTTGCTCGTTTTTTGGAGTTATTGCCCTTTGTTCATTTTTACACTTTGAACGTTGTCCGAGACATAACTCTGACACTACAAGAGATATGAACAAGAGACTTTGTATTGCCTGTTTAAAATTATTGCACTTTGTCCGGGACATAACTTTGAAACTACAAAAGGTTTACTTGTCTGTGTCCAAAACCTATTCGGGGAGCATAACCGGTTCTTGTTTAAATACGGTTAAACTCCACACCAACACAGTATAGGTCATATGACAACTTCCCAGCTTTAGTGTTGGATACCCCAAGTGCCAAACTGTGCATTATTTAAGACACAAGCCGCCACATGAGGAGAACTTGTCACATAACAAAACAAGCTTGTGTAACATTGTGGGGACATTGGCTATGACCAGTTGATGACCTCCATTGATTTTGAGGTCAGGGTCACAGTGAAACTCCTTGTCCAATCAATTACTTGAAAAGGAATAAATCTAAATTTGTTAAACTTGGTAGGGACATTATGGCCAGGAGATGATCTCTATTGATTTTGAAGTTATAAGGTCAAAGTGACACTGTAAAATCCTTTGTGATCAAGGGACATATTTCTAAAATATTCTCAAACAATAAACTGATTCTTTGCTAAGAATTGGCAATTCTCAGAGAGTTTCCACCACTAGGGTACAGTAGAACAACACTGTATTACATATTTGTCAATTTGTCACAGTAATGAAATGGTATGTAATTAAAATGTGTAAATTAATATTATGCCATTCACTGGTCACATGAAAACTTTGATCATATTTCTGTTTTAATTGATATACAAGTATTTGTATTTAGATGTAAGGATGAAAGGGTGACTTTTGAAATCTCTTTTGGACATCACTGCCCTTAAGAACTCATTTTGGGTAAAAGAAAATTAAGAAACTACAACAATGTATATGTACTCTCACAATATATTCATATAAGTAATATAATATATATTAACATCATCAACAAAACATAAACATTGACTATAAATATCCTTGACAAAGTTTCCTTTTCTTGAAGAAGTTCCCTCATTGACATTGAGCAAGCATTCCTAGTTTACAGTGAACACATTTGACAATTTTTGTGAAATGGACTTTTATAACAAAGTCAACAAAGTGATGTGAAAATGTGAAGCTTAGAGTGCTCTAACTGTTATACATAGTATTGCAAAAATTAGTCAAAACCCAATCCAATGCCCTACAAAAATTTATTACAAATAATTCATATTGAATTTTATGAATGAATCACAAATGTATATTTAATGCCAATTCAACACTGCTCTGATTATAATTCACAACATAGAACCTACAGGAGTAGATATATATACATGAGGTTTATTGAGTTTAACTTTCTCATGTGGCGTGTAAACTTAGTAAACAGTGGTCAGTCAGTGTGTACTGAGCAGTTATGCATTGCAATATCAGACACTTTAGCAACTTTGTAATAGAAATCATCTCAGTGATGGTGTAAGAATGTTTGAAATTCTGAATGCCCGACAAGGGTATGTATGTTCAGGATTATGGACCCAAGTGATAACGTTAACATCTCAAAAACTGATGCGAGACCATCTCACTAACATGTATGTACTGAAGGTGTAAAGAAAAATGCCAAACAAAGGTTTGAGTGCCTTCAGGTTGATTACAATTACCCAAATTAGACGATATTTAATGATTCATCGGGTATGTAATCCTTAAAGTGGAGTAAGTTCATTAATATTCATATTTAACATTGTAAATATAGCACTTAACATCATTAAAAATGTCTATTTTATGTAACACCCCTATGCCTGTCACTGACATGAATGATGAAATACAAATTAACTGCATCATAGATAAAAAAAAGTTTAAAAGCTTCAGTATACAACGGCAACAGAAAAAAAATAAAGTAATAATCAATTTCAAGCCTTTTCTAATCACTGGCTGTCAACAGCAATGTCCTCAAATTAAACCATACAGGAATATTTTACATCTATAAGTACAGGCTTTAAGTGTTTTGATGTAATTGCATCTGTTACAAAGAGAAAAACGGTATAAAAAAATGCTGTATTTTACACCCCGTTTCTTACAGCAGTGTATTCGCACTGTAAAGTAAAATCCTGGTGGACCTAGGTTTGCTAAATCTATTTATCAAGTAAGCAGACAATAAATGATTTAGCCTAATATCTTATCATGAAGGTAATGGTAACTGAGGCCCATAATAATCAACTTCATCACACCAGTATTCCGGTGGTGACTTTATCTTTACAAGATAACGTATATTTGGTTCCTTAGAATCTATGCTGATTTCTTTATAGTATGAACAAGGTCTACAGTCCTCCATTGACTTGTGATTATACGGTGGTGATAAAACATCTAAAAATGCTGCAGTTCCTGATTCTGAAATTATCTCGTGGACATTTTTATTGTTTGGAGATATAACACAACAATCATCTGTTTCAGTACAAACTTTGTCACCCTCGTACCATGAAGGATACACCGGAATATTTCGCCCATATTTGTCAGCTAGTGTTTCACTTAACGTAGCTGGCACTGGATATTTGTTAGGATCTAGTGGTGTGTATGTTTTTATTGTAACACTTCCATGGATAACTTTGAGAAGACCAAACATTCCAGGATGATCATGTAAAGGTAAACTTTTTCCTTGCCTCAATACAAACACAGCAATTGTCATCAACTGAAAGAGACAAAGAAATTATATATTTTTTATTTAGTGAAATCTGCACTATTGTTTTATATTTGGAAAGTTTAAACTGTTCCATTTTATTAGCCACATAGTTTAAAGTCTGCCTCTCAACCTAGAGTTCATGGATTTGAACCTGAGTCATGGCCAGGTTTTCTCATGCCACATCATTGAGAATGGTCCATGGTTTACTGGTTATCTCCTGGATTAGTCTCATATGTACATTTCAGAAGTAAAACTTGCATATATCACCACAGGTCTATTCCAGGATATAGCCTAGCCCAACAAATTGTGGGCTTTTTATTATATAGACGATGGTCGCCAGACATCTATGTAATATCAGGTTATAAAATCGGTCGGTCTTGCAGTCGAAATATTGAGACTAGATATAGCCAATTTATCTATCTTGCCCCTCATAGTCATTAGAATTGAAAACTTAAATGTATATCTACTTACACTGTACAATAATGCTGAAATAAATAATCTTTTACTAAACAGCTAAAAGTATTATCATTATCAGATTATTTTTAGCTAATTTCTTCAGTCTATCTTTTTTAAATTTTATTTTACTAATAAATATGCTGAAAATATGTTGGAAACAAAAAATAAACGTAGTGAAGTATGATAAAAAATAGCACTAGACTAACCTTATCTTCCAAAATTCTTATGTAGGTAACTGGAGCTTCATGTTCTTTTGGAATTTTATCCTCTAATACGTGAGGATCTATTCGTAATTCGTCTTTTGTGACTTTATTAAGATTGGTCCTTAATTCACTAAGGCTGTCACTCGTTACAGAAGCCCCATTTCTCCGAGAAAACACTTTAAAAGCAGATTCAACAGCTTTTTGGAAGGGAGATGTCATTTTTGTAAACGGTGTTTGTAAAAATTGTTTGCTGTCAGAATCGCTCACGTGACAACACGAGTTGTCGATCTTGAGTGACCTACATCTGAAAATGGGCTGAAAAAGTAAACACAAGTCACGTTTCATTGTCATATTTTAAAGAAATAATTCAAGCGTTCAAAGTCACTGTCACCACTTAGATTTTATTGCTCAAAATGGAATATCCACCGTTTTTACTGGGACAATCAAGATTTGACCAGGTAAATTGATCATTAAGTACTAAATTTCAATTTATTTATATGCATACTGCTTCACGGTAGACAGACGTTTCACTATTGAGACAGTTCACACCAAGACGGTTCACACCAAGACGTTTCACTCCCAAATGGGAGTGAAACGTCTTGAAGACGTTTCACTCCCTTTTTATACCAAAATTTTCTAAGACTTATGATATACTAAAATAAATAGACCATATATTTAATAAAAATTAATTTCACTTTTTGTTAATGCCTATTTACTCCATACTTAAGTTTGTGTATCATAATTGTTATCCCTGCATGTTTCTATATTTGTTATTAAACATCATAACATGTGAAACTGGTAAGAATGCATTATTTTTGTTATCATAAATTCTTTTTAAACAGTAAATTATATTTTATAGACAAAATAATGAAATTTTAGACCATGTATTATGTACGTATATGTAGAAGGTTTAAACCTTTGTCAAGCAGTACCTATATAGATAAGTAATTTAACTTAATGGCCATTGCAATCAGAAATGCCTTTAGATAAAATTAAAATAAAAGCATTGGGACTTTTTCAATATTTGTGACGTAAAATCATTATTTTGTGACTAAAATTCAATATAAAAGAAAAATTGTCTTTCATAACATGAGCCATCTTAAATCATAATAAAACTGATGATATTAAAGAATGATGATATTAAATATCAGAGAAGTTGCATGAAAACATATTAAAATTTACATACATTGTGGTTCATGTTCTTCTTCTTTATTTTTTTTTATTTTAATTATTTTTTTTGTGGGGGGGGGGGGGATATATGTTGGAGACTGGATATAATTGTATTATCTTATAGTTCTTTACAGCTGTTAATGATAAGAATTCATTGGTGATTTTCTTTGCATTAAGTATATATTTGCTGCATTCTGCAAATTTTCTAAAATAATTTATGTATATATCGGATTAAATATTATTTTAATTTGTTATATAAACAAAACTTATAATGGAGAAGTTTCTGTTTCCAAGACTTTTGCTTTAATTGGATGTCATCTATAAACAATTTTTATGGTCCAATAAACAACTGATTAGTAAACTGTTGATGCTAAAGTGCAGTGTTTATACAACTGATTTAATAGTGATGTCAAACTGTTAGTTGTTGGTCTCAGTGTTTATACAACTAATTGGGTGATGAGATTACTGTTAACACCACAATTACCTACGTTTGTTTAATGGCTACTTTTTAATAAATTAATAAAGAAAAATTCAAAAGAATAATTAATTTTATACAAATCTTTTGCATATCATCGTTTAAGATACATGAAATAACAAATATTTTAATTTTATAATATTATTACTATATAATTGATATTTTTTATTATTTTAACAATATTTTTTTTGATAGAAATAATTGATATCAAGTTAATGGCATTATTTCCATGTGACATTTTTTATTAAAGTACTAATGACAATATTATTCTCAAGAGTTTATATTATAGTTTATATAAGTAAATTAGTTACTTAGTATGAATTCCTTTTTAACAAAAATTATTGTGTGTTTTATTTTGAGTAACCAACATCACCTATTAAACCATTTTTCAATGCAACAAAAATAAAAAATGTATATTACAGAACCTTAATTGCTTATCTACAACAGAAAAACATACATCAATATAAATAATCAATCCTGATATGGCTATTAAAAATGGAAATAAATTTGTTAATTTCCCTAAAAAATATCTAAAAAAATGGGAGTGAAACGTCCATACAATTGACAAATTGGGAGTGAAACGTCTAGGTGTGAACCGTCTTGGGAGTGAAACGTCTCAATAGTGAAATGTCTTGGGAGTGAAACGTCTGACATTCCTGCTTCACTGCTTAATTCAGCTGTAATTGTTGCATTCTCAGTGTTATAATATTGCACGAATTTCTCATGCAACTGGTTGGTGCATGTACATATTTCAGGAATTTAGGGATCCCAACAACATAGATGTTATTTTAGAGAAATGCTTTAGTAGAGAATTAGTTAAAGTTTGTTTCTATTTTTATTTTGTAAAAACTTCTTAAGTTTTTATTAGGCCTACTGAAATGTGTATTTATTTTGTATTTTTAAACATGATTTATCTATGAAAAGAATAAAGGAAATCATTTGATTTTTTTATTTATGAAAGAAGTGTTCCTTGTTCACTTTGGTATGCATGCAAATTTTGATCATAGTAAATTTATTCATCATATCATGTAGAAAATTTTAAATTGTTAATATTATTTTTAAAAAGTGGTAACAACCAATTCTAAGTGAATTAAAGGAGTGAGGTTTCCACACAAAGAAGGGTATTTCAGATAGAATTGATGCTTGATTTTATGTAACCCAAAAATTTTATTCATTTTCAGACCAAGTTTTCAGGACGTCTGCGACATTTACTTGATATTACAGATCCAAGAACTCTATTTACATCAAAAGTTGGTATTTAAAAATTCATGCAAATTTAAACAAGTCTAAACTTAAGGTTTAGGGGACAATACTGACAAGTAAATCTGTCAGATGATTTTTTTAGCCTCGCCTTTTAATAAAAAAGGTGCCCCTCCCATCAGCGTGAGCATTGGCGTTGGTTTACCTTTTTGTTAAGGTTCATTTTCTCAGAAACTATAAAGGCTATTCATTTCAAACTTAGTACATGTTTATATTGTTGATATACATGTTAATTGAAATAAATATGACACCATTTCAGAAGGGTAGATAATCCTAAATTTATTTTTGCAAAGTTATGCCCCTTTTTTACCCATTTTAAGTCTAAGGTCAATTTCTTAAAAACTGTCAGTTAATCACTTCAAACTTTGACCACTTGTTCAACTTTTTAAGTTGGAATACATTTTAAAGGGCAGGTAACTTTATAATTTACTTTATTATGCCCCCGCCATGTAATGGCCGGGGCATATAGTGTTACCCTGTTCCTTCATTCCGTCCTTCCATCCTTCCGTCCTTCTGTCATTCCGTCATCATCAGTTTCTGTTCATTATCTTAAAAACGGTTGCACACATTCAACTCAAATTTGACATATGGATATGTCATGAGAAAATACAGGTCAAGTTCGAATTTGGTCATGGTTCGATGATTTTTGGCAGAGTTATGCCCCTTTTACTTTGAAAATAATATGAAATTTCAGTTTCCGTTCATTATCTCCCCAACGGTACAACACATTCAACTCAAACTTGACATATGGATATGTCATGAGAAAATACAGGTCAAGTTCGAATTTGGTCAGGGTTCGATGATTTTTGGCAGAGTTATGCCCCTTTTACTTTAAAAATAATATGAAATTTTCAGTTTCCGTTCATTATCTCCCCAAAGGTACAACACATTCCACTCAAACTTGACATATGGATGCGTAAAAGGAATGCGCAGGCCAAGTTCAAATTTGGTCATGGTTCAATGATTTTTGGCAGAGTTATGCCCCTTTCACTTTGAAAGTAATATGAAATTTTCAGTTTCCGTTTATTATCTCCCCAATGGTACAACACATTCAACTCAAATTTGACATATGGATATGTTTTTGGAATGCCCAGGCCAAGTTCAAATTTGGTCATGGTTCAATGATTTTTGGCAGAGTAATGCCCCTTTCACTTTGAAAATATGAAATTTACAGTTTCTGTTCATTATCTACCCAACAGTGTTACATATTCAACTTAAATTTGACATATGGATATGTCAAAGGAATGGGCAGGTCAAGTTGGAATTTGGTCATGGTTTGATGATTTTTTGGCAGAGTTATGTCCCTTTCACTTTGAAAATAATATAGATACATTTGTACATCTTAGGAATAAGCAGTTTAAGTTTGAATTTGGTCGTGGTTCAATGATTTTAGACAAACTTATCTTTCCTGAATGTTGGAAAAATTTTGAACTTTCAGTTTCAGCAATCATACTTTTAGCCATTATTTTGGCTACAAATATGCAATATGCTATTTTTAAAAGGTTAAGACTGAATAATTTCAGTGCCTTGAACATTGTATGAAATTGGTCTGTGTTAACATTGAAAAGTTTTAAGGGCTTTGAACTTAAAATAAAAAAAATAATTAATGCACCATCTGAAATTTTGGCTGCATGCGGGGGCATCCGTGGCATGATGACACATTTCTAGTTCAAACTTGAAATATTTGTTGACTATCAAGGGCAGGTAATTCTGCTAATCACATTTTCAATTATGGTAATGAATGTATAATACCAACTGAAGTTAATGCAGGCAGCAGCACATCTCCAGATTAATAAACTTACCTTCAAAAAAGAAATCAAACTTGAGAAAAATACTTAAGTAATGCATTAATATTAACAATATAGGGCATTTTGTATTTAAAATGAAAATAATATTCATGATGTGTAGTATTTTGTCACCCAAAGCTTTTGTTTCATTTGGCAATTTAAATCATTTTATAATGTACAATGAATCAAGGTCAAAGTATGTAAATACATCTGCTTCCTGTACTAGCAAAACATGATTCAAGTTAAATTGTATAAGCTCGGAACAAATGATAATGTGATTAGAACAGAAAGGGGCTTGTGCTTGCAAGAAATCAATATTTACGATAGAGTGATTCTGTTTCTACAGTGTGAAGGTGTTTTCTTGATTTTTTATCACTTCGTTTGTAGAAATATTCTATCTATTTAAACTGAATTTTTTTTTATTATAGTCAGAACTGAAAAAGTGTGTAGATTTATTAGATGACTTCAAGAATGATCGTCTTCCAGAAGGAGTCACAAATAAACAGCTATGGGAGGCTCAAAAAGTGAAACAGGTAAAATGGATTATTTATTATTTCTAGGCAAAAAAAATAGTACTTTGTTTCTGGTTTTCAACCAAAAACACCTACATTTAGCATTACCATCAACACAATGGCTCAATCAGACCCAGTCTGCAACCTTTTCAATTTAGCCATTTTTGATTTTCTTTAAGTATTCTGTTTTATTTTTTTTTATATTGAATGAATGATATGATTTATATATCAATTTCACTTATTAAAGTCTGTACGTTAATCTACATGTATATTTAGCTTAGATTTTAAGCCCCTCCAAAACACCTGACAATTTGAAACTTTTTAAGAAATTGCTTAAGGATTGTGATCCCTGATGAATCTGTAAATTTTTGAATAATTTTGGGTAATGTTATAATAAATCCGAAGTCAATCTTAACTCCTTTTAAAAGTTTTTTTTTTATACCAATATGGTGGCTGCGAGGCATTCATGCTTAATGGTCTGTAATCATTTTACTTGAAACTGCATACATGCACAAAATGTACAAATCAAGTAGTGCTATTGATTTCAAACCACTTGCCCCTCACGGCTGTGGGTTCGAATCTTGACCGGGACTTTGGATTCTTTCATGTAAGGAAGCTGTTCATCTAGCTTACGGAACGTTGGTGGATCTACTTAGGTGACTGTTCATGCCTGAATTAATGAAGGGCACCCGAGGTGTTCCTCCACCCTTTAAATAGGAAGTCGCCATATGACCTATTCTGTGTGGGTGCAACATATCACCCAACCCCCAAAACAATAAAAAATACACAGCTTGTTATTTCGTAATTTTGTAGATAATTTGTAATTTCAGAGCATCATCCATCCTGACACTGGGGAAAAAATCTTGATGCCATTCAGAATGTCAGGCATGTATACAATTTGATTTAAAATAATACCAAGTTGTTGTTTTTGTAACTGAAAACAAGTTTCTCCAAACATAATGCCTGTGATGTTTTTTGTTGGTCAATAAGGGCTGTATATACAACACAGCTTTTACCTCTGGAATTTGAATACTGTCTATTTCAGGTCTGTGCAAATGTGTGTGTGCATGTGGGGAGGGGGAAGGGGGGCGGCTTAGACTCTGTCTCAGCAGACAGACGTACATGGTTTTTCTTAATCAATTACTGATTATTAATAAAAGAATGCTATATGAATTTAATGTTTTTGGACTAAAGCCAAATTTTGCACTCACCCCTAACTATCATACAGACATTGCAAATTAAAAAGCTTTACAGAACATCAACTGCACTTCTTTGTCTGTGTTTATTGTGAGAAGAAGTGTAAGAAAAAGTGGGGCTTCCTGTTCATTTTTAATTGAAACTAAAAAAAACACAACCTGATACATGTATGAGCTGTGTCATGACAAAACCAAAATAATGGGTTTGCGACCAGCATGGATCCAGACCAGCCTGCGCATCCGCGCAGTCTGATCATCTGATCAGGATCCATGCTGTTCGCTATCAGTTTCTTTACTTGTTACAGCGTCTGTAAGCGAACAGCATGGATCCTGATCAGACTGCGCGGATGCGCAGGCTGGTCTGGATCCATGCTGGTCGCAAACCCATTATGTTGGTTTTGTCGTGACACGGCTCGTATGTTGATGACTTCATTCATGGCAGAAAAGATAATGTATAAGTGGGTTTATACTTTCTAATGAATGAGCATCTTCATGTGATTTAAACAAAAACATTGATGATCAAATTTGCACAAGGGGTAAAGAAATCATTAAGTTAAGTGATTGTTATCTAAAATGAAGTATTGATGAGCATTTGGATACAGCCTCCGATCAAAGATGAGGTGAAAGTTTAAGAGGTTAATTTGTAAATTTTTTGCAGGAAAAAGTGTTGTAAGATGAGAATTACATAGGGTGATGGCATGATTCATTTAAGTATGATTTTAGTTAATTAAAGTTAGTTAAAGGTTATATTTTGTTTGCTTTACATATACTTGTACTTGGTTCACTTGTTATAATCTGTGTTCACTTGTTACATGTTTTATGTATATTTAATTTACACACTATTAGTTATGTTTTGTTGATTAAAATGCTGCTATATTATTTGTTATGTTGGTTGACAAAAATTTGTCATATTTGATATTAGGTTTATTAACAGGATATATTTTTTATCTTCATTTTTAGCTCACCTGTCACATGACAGGGTGAGCTTTTGTGATCGCTTTTCATCCGGCGTCCGTCCATCCGTAAACTTTTACTTTAAATGACATCTCCTCATAAACCACCAAGCCAATTTCATCCAAACTTCACAGGAATGTTCCTTTGGTGGTCACCTTTAAAAATTGTTCAAAGAATTTAATTCCATGGCAACAGAAAGAAAAAACTTTAAATATCTTCTTTTACAAAACCTTAAGAGCTAGAGCTTAGATATTTTGCATGAAACATCTTCTAGTAAGTGTCTACCAAGTTTGTTCAAATAAAAGCCCTGGGGTCAAAATTGGCCCCGCCCCAGGGGGTCATTGATTTTCCCTATATGCATATAGTAAAAACTTAAAAAATCTTCTTTTAAAGAACCCAAAGAGCTAGAGCTAAGATATTTAGCATGAAACATCTTCTAATGAGTGTCTACCAAGTTTGTTCAAATAAAAGCCCCGGGGTCAAAATTGGCCCTGCCCCAGGGGGGTCATTGATTTTCCCTATAAGTATATGCATATAGTAAAAACTTAAAAAAATCTTCTTTTAAAGAACTCAAAGAGCTAGAGCTAAGATATTTAGCATGAAACATGTTCTAATGGGTGTCTACCAAGTTTGTTCAAATAAAAGCCCTGGGGTCAAAATTGGTCCGGCCCCGGGGGTCATTGATTTTCCTTATACGTGTATAGCAAAAACTTAAAAAATCTTCTTTGGATAAACAAATAGCTAGAGTTTAGATATTAAGCATTAATTATCTTCTAGTGAGTGTCTACAAAGTTTGTTCAAATAAAAGGCCTGGGGTCAAAATTGGCCCCGCCCCGGGGGTCATTGATTTACCTTATATGTGTATAGCAAAAACTTAAAAATCTTCTTTTAAAAAACCCAAATAGCTAGAGTTTAGATATTAAGCATTCAACATCTTCTAGTAAGTGTCTACAAAGATTGTTCAAATAAAAGCCCTGGGGTAAAAACTGGCCCCGCCCCAGGGGTGTCATTGTTTTTAACTATATGTGTATAGTAAAAACTTAAAAATCTTTTTTTTAAAAACCCAATGAGTTAGAGGCTTAGCTTAGATGGTTAGCATGAAACATCCTCTTATGGGTGTCTACCAAGTTTGTTCAAATAAAAGCCCTTGGGTTAAAATTGGCTTTGCCAGGGGGGGGGGGAGGCTATATACAGGTGAGCGACCTCAGGGCCATCATGGCCCTCTTGTTTTATCATGCTGTGTAATTCTCTGTGACAAGTGACATTGAGTCGAACAGTCCTCACTGCTGATTCAGAAATCATTTAGGATTAGCGGCATTAGATCGCCGTGAAATTGGCAATTACTAGTTTGTTATCCAGGATACCCAGTTAGGTGAATCAACAGTCAAGATATATGACTAAATAATGTGTTGAAATTGGCAATAAAAAAGAAAAACTGGAAAAGACCCATAGATATGTGTACATGTGATTAATATTTCTCTTTAAGTTTAGGTTTTTGTATGTATACATGTAACAATTATCCACAGGTTTCTTTCCTATGCATATTCTGTGTTCTAAGGTTTACATGTTATGTTACACAGAAATTTGAAATAAAATTTTGTGCATTTGAAATTGTTGAAAGTTAACAGATAACAATGGTTGGTTTACATTTTAGGTTATGTATGATTGCAGGATATAGTTTGTTTGTTCACATATCTATTTTGTATGCTTACAGGTTATGTACCTTTTGGCACACCAATTGTAAGTATCAGTCATATATTATTTCAGAAATTTGTTAGTTTTACTGCAATTACCCAGGCCTTGAGAATACTTTGCAAATGATAATGTCCAGAACATGTAGAGCATCACTTGGCCAAGAAATGATTACGGTCTGTGACTTTAAATCACCTGCCACTCACCACTGTGGGTCCAAATCTCACTAGGGGCTTAGGATAGTCCTACTTTCATCTGAGGAAGCTATCCAGCAAATAAACACAAGTTCAGTGTTACTACTTTTCTGAAATAAAAAAAGAGAGATATTGTCTTCTGCCATCAATAAAGCTTGAACATTCCCATGTGATATGGCCTTCCCATTGTTGTGACTTAAAACTCAAACTTAAAAAATAAAGATAAATGTAGTCATGAAAGACATAAGCATATACTATATATAACATAACTGACAAAACTTGATTGTTTCTGTGTAAATTGTACATAGGAAATATTCGTTACCCTTAAGGTACCGGAGCGATAAGTACTGACCTTACTGAGTATGATCAAGAATACATTGTAGATTTTAAAGATGTAATCTTATTAAACAGTTTAACAATTAAATCATTTATTGTGTCGCCTCTACGGAGTAGTGGCGACATATAGGGATCACTTCTCCGTCGTCTGTCTGTCCGTCTGTCTGTCTGTCTGTCTGTCCGTCTGTCTGTCTGTCTGTCTGTCTGTCCGTCCGTCCGTCACAAAACTTGTCCGGACTACTGCTCATAAACTACTGGTGCAATTTCATCCAAACTTTACAGGAATGATCAGTACCAAGTCTAGTTGTGCATATTGTCAGCATTTTCCGGTTCAGTGATTTTTGTCAGAGTTATGGCCCTTTAATAATTTTTATGCCCCCATTTCGAAGAAAAGGGGGTATATTGCTTTGCACTTGTCGGTCCGTCGGTCTGTCGGTCCGTCGGTCCGTAGACCAAATGGTTTCCGAGTGATAACTAAAGAACCCTTAGGCCTAGGAACTTCAAACTTGGTATGGTGATTGGTCATGACCAGTAGATGACCCCTATTGATTTTGGGGTCAAGGGGTCAAAGGTCAAGGTCACATTGACCTTGTAAGCAAAAACGGTTTCCGATCAATAACTAAAGAACCTTAAGACCTAGGAACTTCAAACTTGGTATGGTGATTGGTCATGATCAGTAGATGACCCCTATTGATTTTGGGGTCAAGGGGTCAAAGGTCAAGGTCACATTGACCTTGTAAGCAAAAACGGTTTCCGATCAATAACTAAAGAACCTTAAGGCCTAGGAACTTCAAACTTGGTATTGTGATTGGTCATGATCAGCAGATGACCCCTATTGATTTTGGGGTCAAGGGGTCAAAGGTCAAGGTCACATTGACCTTGTAAACAAAAACGGTTTCTGATCAATAACTAAAGAACTTTAAGGCCTAGGAACTTCAAACTTGGTATGGTGATTGGTCATGATCAGTAGATGAACCCTATTGATTTTGGGGTCAAGGGGTCAAAGGTCAAGGTCACATTGACCTTGTAAGCAAAAACGGTGTCCGATCAATAACTAAAGAACTTTAAGGCCTAGGAACTTCAAACTTGGTATGGTGATTGGTAATGATCAGTAGATGACCCCTATTGATTTTGGGGTCAAGGGGTCAAAGGTCAAGGTCACATTGACCTTGAAAGCAAAAAACGGTTTCCGATCAATAACTAAAGAACTTTAAGGCCTAGGAACTTCAAATTTGGTATGGTGATTGGTCATGATCAGTAGATGACCCCTATTGATTTTGGGGTCAAAGGTCAAGGTCACATTGACCTCTTGGGTAAAAACGGTTTCTGATCAATAACAAAAGAACCCTTAGGCCTAGGAACTTCAAACTTGGTATGGTGATTGGTCATGACCAGCAGATGACCCCTATTAATTTTGGCATTAAGGGTCAAAGGTCAAGGTCACATTGACCTTGTAGGTAAAAAACGGTTTCCGATCAGTAACAAAGAACCCTTAGGCCTAGGGACTTCAAACTTGATATGGTGATTGGTCATGATCAGTAGATGACCCCTATTGATTTTTTGGGTCAAGGGGTCAAAGGTCAAGGTCACATTGACCTCTTAGTAAAAAACGGTTTCCGATCAATAACTAAAGAACCCTTAGGCCTAGGAACTTCAAACTTGGTATGGTGATTGGTCATGACCAGCAGATGACTCCTATCGATATTGGGGTTAAGGGGTCAAAGGGCAAGGTCACATTGACCTTGTAGGAAAGAAATGCTTTCCAATCAATAACTTAAGAACCCTTAAGCCTAGGAACTTCAAACTTTGGTATGGTGATTGTCATGACCAGCAGATGACCTATTGATTTTTGGGTCAAGGGTCAAAGGTCAAGGTCACATTGACCTCTAAGGTAAAAACGGTTTCCGATCAATAACTAAAGAACCCTTAGGCCTAGGAACTTCAAACTTGGTATGGTGATTGGTCATGACCAGCAGATGACCCCTATTGATATTGGGGTTAAGGGGTCAAAGGGCAAGGTCACATTGACCTTGTAGGTAAAAATGCTTTCCAATCAATAACTTAAGAACCCTTAGGCCTAGGAACTTCAAACTTGTATGGTGATTGGTCATGACCAGCAGATGACCTATTGATTTTGGGGTCAAGGAGTCAAAGGTCAAGGTCTCAGTGACCTTGTAGGTAAAAACGGTTTCCGATCATTTAACTAAAAACGCTTAGGCCTAGGAACTTCAAACTTTGTATGATGATTGGTCGTGACCAGCAGATGACCCCTATTGAGTTTTGGGTCAAGGGGCCAAAGGTCAATGTCACATTGACCTTGTAAGTAAAAACGGTTTCTGATCAATAACTTAAGAACGCTTAGGCCTAGGAACTTCAAACTTGGTATGGTGATTTGTCATGACCAGCAGATGACCCCTATTGATTTTGGGATCAAGGGTCAAAGGTCAAGGTCACATTGACATTGTAAGTAAAAACGGTTTCTGATCAATAACTAAAGAACGCTTCGGCCTAGGAACTTCAAACTTGGCATGGTGATTGGTCATGACCAGCAGATGACCCCTATTGATTTTGAGGTCAAAGGTCAAGTTCACATTGACCTTGTATGTTAAAATGGTTTTCGATCAATAACTAAAGAACCCTTAGGCCTAGGAACTTCAAACTTGGTATGGTGATTGGTCATGACCAGCAGATGACCTATTGATTTTGGGGTCAAGGGGTCAAAGGTCAAGGTCACATTGACCTTGAAGGTAAAAACGGTTTCCGATCAATTTACTAAAAACCCTTAGGCCTAGGAACTTCAAACTTTGTATGATGATTGGTCGTGACCAGCAGATGACCCCTATTGAGTTTTGGGTCAAGGGGTCAAAGGTTAAGGTCATGACCAGTAGATACTTGATAGCCCTTATTAATTGTTTGATCACTGGGTCAGAAGTCATGCATAATAACCTTATCACATGACTAATTGGCTGCTGATAGGGGGCATACATGTTTTACAAACATATCTTGTTAATTTTAAAGTTTGTCCGGACTACTTCTCTTATACCACTAATGCAATTTCAATGAAACTTTACAGGATTGATCTGTAGCTCAAGTCCTTGCGCATATTGCACGGGTTTTCCGGTTGAATGATTTTTGGCCGAGTTATGGCCCTTTGACAAAAAGGTCTTTTTTTCTGTCGTTGCCAGATACACAAAAGCTTGTCCGGACTACTCCTCATAAACTACTGGTGCAATTTCATCCAAACTTTACAGGAATGATCAGTACCAAGTCTAGTTGTGCATATTGTCAGCATTTTCCGGTTCAATGATTTTTGTCAGAGTTATGGCCCTTTAATAATTTTTATTTTTAAAGTTTGTCCGGACTACTTCTCTTATACCACTAATGCAATTTCAATGAAACTTTACAGGATTGATCTGTAGCTCAAGTCCTTGCGCATATTGCACGGGTTTTCCGGTTGAATGATTTTTGGCCGAGTTATGGCCCTTTGATAAAAAGGTCTTTTTTTCTGTGTGTTGCCAGATACGCAAAAGCTTGTCCGGACTACTCCTCATAAACTACTGGTGCAATTTTATCCAAACTTTACAGGAATGATCAGTACCAAGTCTAGTTGTGCACTGTCCGTCTGTCACAAAATTTGTCCCAACATGAAATTGGCCATCATGGGGCGACACATGTGATTACTGATCGCTCTTGTCTATAATTCTGTGTGGGTCGCTTAAATTCAAAGACCATATCTGACATTCAAGTTATTATACCCCTGCACAACAAAAGTTGTAAGGGGGGTATACTGGAATCAGCTTGTCCGTCCGGCCGTCTCTTGTCCGTCAGTCCGGCCGTTCGTCAGTTTTTCCTTGTCCGCCCAATAACTTAAGATTCCTTTGACCCATAGTCTTCATATTTTGTATTTAGATTGGTCATGATGATCCCTAATGATTTTGAGGTCACAGGGTCAAAGGTCAAGGTCTCAGGGGCCTTGACTTAAAAAAGTTTGTCAGCCCAATAACTTAAGTTTCCTTTGACCCACAGTCTTCATATTTGGTATTTAGATTGATCATGATTAGTAGATGATCCCTATTGATTTTGAGGTTACATGGTCAAAGGTCAAGGTCAAAGGGGCCTTGACTTTAAAAAGCTTGTCTGCCCAATAACTTAAGATTCCTTTGACCCATAGTCTTCATATTTGGTATTTAGATTGGTCATGATTAGTAGATGATCCCTATTGATTTTGAGGTCACAGGGTCAAAGGTCAAGGTCACAGGGCCTTGACTTAAAAAAGCTTGTCCGCCAGATAACTTAAGATTCCTTTGACCAACAGTCCTCATATTTGGTATTTTGATTGGTCATGATTAGTAGATGATCCTTAATGATTTTAAGGATACTGGGTCAAAGATCAAGGTCACAGGGGCCTTGACTAAAAAAGCTTGTCTGCCCAATAACTTAAGATTCCATTGACCCACAGTCTTCATATTTGGTTTTTAGATTGGTCATGATTAGTAGATGATCCCTATTGATTTTAAGATCACTGGGTCAAAGGTCAAGGTCACAGGGGTCTTGATACATAAAAAAGCTTAACACCCATTAACTTAAGATTCCTTTGACACAGTCTTGATATTTGGCATGGAGGTTAGCCATGATTAGTAGATGGTCCCTTTTGATTTTGAGGTCACTGGGTCAAATGTGAAGGTCACAGGGCCTTGACTAAAAAAAACTTGTCTGCCCAATAACTTAAGATTCCTTTGACTCACAGTCTTCATATTTCGTATTTAGATTGGTCATGATAAGTAGATGATCCCTATTGAATTTTAGGTCACTGGGTCAAAGGTCAAGGTCACAGGGGCCTTGATATAAAAAAGCTTGTCCGCTCAATTGCTTAAGAATGCTTTGGTCAACAGTCTTCATATTTAGTATTTAGGTTGTTTATGACTAGTAGATGACCCCTATTGATTTTTAGGTGACTGTGTCAAAGGTCAATGTCACAGGGAATTTTACTATAATAAGCTTGTCTGCTCAGATGCTTAAGAATGTGTATCCACAGTGTATTGATTTTGACATTTTAACATTTGAAGCATGTAGAATACTAAACTTAGTAATTAGAATAACTTAGCAATGCACTGGCTTAGTAACCTCAGATTTGGCAGGGAGGTTGTCCTTGAGTTCTAAATGGCCACTGTTGATTCTGACAAACTGGTATGCCGGGGTATTCACGCCATGACAGTGGCAGTTCTAGTTATTTGCTATTATATGTTATGCTGTTGGATTATTATTACCTAATTTGACATTTAAGTAATTATTTGACATGATATTTTCAGGTTGTTGGAATGTTATTACCTAATTGGACATTCAAGTAATGATATGACATAATATTTACAGGTTGTTGGAATGTTATTACCTAATCTGACATTCAACCAGATGATATTCTGGCAGTGGTTGAATCAAAGTCACAATGCCTGCTTCAACTATTCCAACAGAAATGCTACAAAGGTAAAACAAGAGATATTTTTAGCACTTCTATATTATCATTATTATTATTTATTAAATGCTACATTTTAAAATTGTCTTTAACATGAAAAGAAAGCAAATAACATGTACATGTGTGTAATATTTTGTAATGATAGTAGATAGAAGCATCTTCTATGTATTCCTATTGATAATGTTAGATCCATGATCTTTCTACTGATTACATTTCAGCCAACACCTACAAGTAAATTTGTGATGGGTTATTTAGGGGCAGTAACTAGTGCAATCTCCATAGCAGTAAGTAAACATGGGATTGTCTCCCTTTATTCATTTTTTTTCATCTGATATATAGTCCAATTGAAATTCATAGTAAAAACAAGTTATAATTTTTAACTATTAATAAATTGCTAAGTAACAAAGGAAATAATAAAACTGGATTAGTAAAGATACTGTATCATAACCCCCCTGAACCTTGCTGAATTTCTAAAATGGACTAAACCTGATTCCATTTTGGAACTGTCCATTACCAATCTTGGGTATATGAAGATGAAAATTTAAAGTCAGCCAACAGTGTATAGCTTGATCAGACTGAAAACTTATGGGGAGTCAAAATATTGAATGAAATTCAACAACAGAGATCAAGCATTAGAGATCAGTTATTTATGTTTATATTTTTGCAGGTTGGTTTAAGTAAACTGATTAAAAAGGCAAACAGGTTTAGCCCAGCAACTAAAATGTTCATACAAAAATTTGTACCATTTCCTGCAGTGGGTAAGTGATAGTTGAAACTTATTTTATTCTGGTATTGCTTGAACCTTTCAGACAGACTCTTTTACCACCCTTAACAGTGTTATACTTGAGTTTCATTTGTATAAATTAACAAGGGTCTTAGAGTCTTTCTTTATGTACAAGCAACATAAATATGATATATTTAAGAAGTTTGATTGATAAAAATTATATTTATCACTGAGTATAACCTAAAATAACAAGAACGTATATTTTTTATGCCCATATTTCAGCATCTGCCAACATATGTAATGTCTTGTTGATGAGAAACAATGAGCTAACAGAAGGTATTGAAGTTATGGACAAAAATAACAATGTTGTCGGAACATCAAAAATAGCTGCTAAAAAGGTTTGTTTTAAAAATCTATTGTAAATATTCAGAATTTTCTTTCCTTAAAACTTGGCAAAATTTACATTATAAACAACATTGAATTAAAAGAATATACAATGTATCTTTAAATAGAATAACGGACCTTGTAATACATTGAAATAAAGGACTGTATCTGTAAGTTAAATGTGAAACAAATCCTTAATGTTGTTTTTGTAAAGATAAATAAAGATACTTGTGACCTGCTTTATGTTTCAGACTATGTTGTCCACTGCAGTTACTTGTGTTGTTTTACCAGCACTATGCTGATTATTCCCCCAGTTATTATGCCATTAGTTTATATTTCAGGCCGTGTTGTCCACTGCAACACTTGTGTTGTTCTGCTAGCACCTATACTGATCATTCCCCCAGTTATTGTATTATTATTTTATATTTCAGGCCGTGTTGTCTACTGCAGGTACTCGTGTTGTTCTGCCAGCACCTATACTAATAATTCCACCAGTTATTATGTCAATCTTAGAAAAGTAAGTGATACATTCTTTACTATTTAACCTATCATGCTTAATCCCTTACCTACTTGAATCAATGTGATTAGCCTTTGTCACTAGAATAGAGCTGGGCCAGCCCGCACATTCCTGTAAAGCTACTGTATAAGTGGTTTGCGATGTGGAAATATTTGCGATTTTTGAGACTCCAAATAATTCGCAAATAATTTAGCCCACAAAAGTTACATCAACTTTTGTAAAGTTTTCAGTGGCCATTGATCATTTTACCATTACACCAATGTAATACTATGTAAATATATCCCATTAAAAATAGCATCTCGCTAAATTCAAACAAACATATTTAATTTAATGTTCATTTAATATTTCACACTATGAAATTATAACGAAAAAGGTTCATAGTAAATTGTCAAACTGAACATCTTCTTAATATTTTTTGAATACATTGAAAATAGCTAACACTGACTGGTGACACCTGTTAGAAATATGAAGAACAGGTATCAATAACATCACCAATAACAAAAGAATTATATTCATACAGGTAATAATGTGACAATTGATGATTATTAAAACAAATAAAAACCACTTGCTTGAATACATTTTCTGTATTGGTTAAATGTTTTAATGGCGTTTGTTAAATGATTTTATTCATTTAATTGTTATCACAAGCGTACTAGTATTACGACAATTCCTGAAATCATCCTTTCGCAAATTTTTCCGCACGCAGGAACTCCAGTTTTGGACATTCGCAAACTTTTGTGACGTAAAAATATTCACTTACAAAGTATTTATAGTTTTGTCCAGATTAAATAATGGACAAGCAAATTTAAGATGTTTAGCATGGTAGGCTATTCCTAAACTACATGTACATGTTTATCACATGCCTGTGTCGATTTTGCAACTCCATGGTAAAAATGGTATTGCAAGACATAGTACATATATTTTGAGGTGACTTCATTTGAGTTATACAAACATAGTGTAAAGACCCGCTATATGTTAGCGTTATACTGTAGGTGTGTCAATGAAAAATGACTCTTTTTCACTTTAAACGTTCTTTTTTTTTTGTATGTGATAAATGGAATATTAAATTTCTGTAAGTTCATTACCAAATTTATTGAACTTTTTGAATAAAATAATAATATGCTCGTCAGAGGCTAGCATAATGTAATTTTTTCTAAGTCATTTAAAAATTTGAATTAAGGTTTGAGCAAAAAATATGTTGAAATAAATGATGTATGACAAATAAAGTCATTTGAAAATTTCATTTTATTCTATTTTATTTACAATATTGGCTTTAAAAGCAACCATTTTTAAACAAAACAAAATGAATATTCATCACAAATTATTTGACATTGACACTACTGTGATTGTGAAATTTTCTTTTCATTAATGCAGTTGTGAAACATTTCTAACATGTATTTTCAGGACAAAGTTTTTACAGAGGAATCCTCGATACCATATAGTATTTAATGCAATGGCATGTACACTGTCATTTGGTTTAGCCTTGCCAGCGACCATAGCCTTGTTTCCACAATATGCCTCTGTAAGTTATTATTATTTTAGGTTTCTTTTTATCTTATTTTGTTAAAGGCACATTATGCCTCAGAACTGCTATCAATTATATTTCTCAAAAACTTTTATTTTTGGTGCCTTTTTACAATTTTCAAACATATACATGTGTACTCATTTTCCATATATATGAACTTTTACTACTGTTGCTCTGTCAGCAATTGGTATAATTATAGTGAATAATTATTTTGTATGGAAGTCAAAATACCACTTTGCTTACATTTTGCTACCTTTACAACACATAACTGCACATTCAATGCTTCTTTCTTCAATATCTAAGCATGAAACTTGCTGTAAATTATTTGTTGAAATATTATTAAACATGTGTTTGACATATCAAAAGAATTTTAAAAAAATATGGTATTCTAAGGCATTATGTGTCTTTAAAGAGTACTTAGAGGTCTCCAGGCTGACTGGTTTAGTTAACAGACTAGTAATTACTTACCCCTTCTAGCTGTAGGTTCAAAACTTGCCATAAACTTGTGAGGATGCAATCCAACTAATAAGAGAAGGTCTTGAGGTACTTGTTTACTTTGTGTGTGATTGAGTAATAAGGGTCTTTGACTTCAAACTACTTGCCCCTCACCACTGAGGGCTGCGAATCTTGCCAAGTACAGTAGAACTTCTATGAGTCGAACTTCGATTAGTTGATTTTCTCGATGTGTCAAAGTAAAATGAAAGTCTTGATTTTTTCCCCTATAAATTCCTCATAAAAACCTATATACGAGTCGAAATTTGATATGTGGAATTTTTGATGTGTGAAATTTTTTTCTTGGTCAGTATAGAAGAAAACGAGTACACTGTTTCACAATTAAGTCGAAGTCCTTCGATTATTTTGACACCTTTGATTTGGAGACATTTTTCACACCTTTTCTAGCCGCGAAAATGATTTCCGATCAACTTGTGTGACAGATGTTAATTATGCAGCCATGTGTTCAAACAGCCTTTGTATGCATAAAAATGTGTGATAAAATGCTTTAATTGTTACCATTTAAATTGATGTATTGGTATTTGAAAGTAAATAGTAAGAACTTCTTTCATTTGAGAACATTCGTGACCCAGTATCACGTGATAATCACATGGGATATATTTACTATCAGCTGGTTTAGCTTTCGCCTTTTCCTTTTGTTACACCTTTTGTTACTTGCTTGTAAACATCAACGGCTCGAAATTTTGTCATGAAATTGAGACCGATTTATGAGTTGACGTCCTGATGTGTCAAAGTTTTTACTGAAGTCCCTTCAACCTTGACTTACTGAAGTTCTACAGTACTTTGGATTTTATTCATGTGAAGAAGCTACCCAGCTAGCCTTATGGAATGTTTGTGGTTCTACTCAGGCGCCCGCTCATGCCAGGAATAATCCATGGCGGGATACCTGGGGTCTTCATGCACCATTCGAGTTAGAATGTTATCATATGACCTTTGAAGTGTTGGTGCATTTTGTGTGATAATAATAATAATGCCAAGACAGGGCCATATGTCTTAATCTAACAGTAATACACTACAGCCTCCTACAGCCTCATTATAACGCTCATGTTGGGGTCCAATGTCTCAACATTGAGAAATTACCGCATTACCCCACCCACCGCATATATATATATATAACGCTGACGATTTTTACTTACTGTTCAATGAATATCAACATTATCTTTTTCTTAAACAATTCAATGATATACCTGGAATGTTATATTATGACATTGACAGTGTCACTTTGATTTAGAGTGAGTTGGTTTATAATGGAAGATTTATAATACAATGAATAATTATGTTGATAATGTTTAGTATCAGACATAACAACAAACCAAGAAATAATTATTTATGGTTATTATATGATCTAAAAATAGCTGCAATCTCATTGGTTTAGACAGTAGTCAACAGAACAAATTATAAAATCACATTCACTGGGTGTAGTATATTCACTGGCTGAATTGGATTTTCCCAATCTAAAAATAGAATCAGACTCATATTCAATAATCATACAGCGGCGGGTGAATATGATTTACGCATGTGCAGTTATGACTAGGTGTAGTTTTATATTCATTGGCTGAATTTTCCCCATATAAAATAGAATCTGATTCACATTTAATGACAGTACAGCATAGACTATTTAAATTGTTGCATTTTGTTCTTTATGGCATATTTATTGCATGGTCTGGAACTTTTCCTTTGTTCTTACTAACCCATTATACTCAGTACACTTCAATGAGCATTTGAAAACTGTATTGATATATAACAGTTCAGTTTTTTCATTGATTCATATAGGAAAAAAACTCGACTGTTGTATATCGGTCGAGTTTTTTTCGCACCTTGTATATATCAATGCAGTTTTTTTTTTCATAGAGGCTCCAATGGGGCAGTGGTAACGACCAATCCCAGTGACAAAAAAAAAAAAAAAATTAATACAATGAAAAAATATTAACAAAATGAAATTTACTCTCATTTAATCAAAAGGTACATCCGCTGAATGAATTCTTTCCACTGGAAAAAAAGCCCTTTAATCTTGAATCAATCTTGGTAACAGTTTACAATCCGCCTATAACATTGGATGTCTTTTGTATTTTTTTTTTTTGCGGCAGCAAAAACAACTTGAAAAAGCTGCATTATCATAAATAGCTGTAATGTAGCTAACGATTTATTTATTTATTTGTTTCTATTACAAAAAAAGAAAAAATTATGTCATTGCGATAAAACAGTTATAGTATATGAATTTTGTTAGTTACGGGGTATAACACTGGCTGGGGCAACATCTTGGGATATTTCTGCAAATGGTCTAGCCATTTTTATGCCCCCACAGAGTGGGAGCATATAGCGTTGCACTTGTCCGTCCGAGTGTCCGTCCGTCCGTCATTCCGTCCGTACGTCTGTCCGTCCGTACGTCCCGAAATCTTGTGAACGCAACTCCTCTTAAACCGGATGGCAGATTTTGCTTAAACTTCCAAGGATGAACAACCTTAATGTGTAGATGGTAGTAAAGGAAGGAATTTTTGCTGCGACCAAATTTAACAGAATTATGGCCCTTTGTGGATTTTTTCACTGTATACTATGTAGAAATTTTGTGAACGCAACTCCTCTTAAACCGGATGGCAGATTTTGCTTAAACTTCCAGGGATGAACAACCTTAATGTGCAGATGGTAGTAAAGGAAGGAATTTTTGCTGCGACCAAATTTAACAGAATTATGACCCTTTGTTGATTTTTCACTATATACTATGTAGAAATTTTGTGAACGCAACTCCTCTTAAACCAGATAGCAGATTTTGCACAAACTTCCAGGGATGAACAACCTTAATGTGAAGATGGTAGTAAAGGAAGGAATTTTTGCTGCGACCAAATTTTACAGAATTATGGCCCTTTGTTGATTTTTTCACTATTTACTATGTAGAAATTTTGTGAACGCAACTCCTCTTAAACCGGATGGCAGATTTTGCTTAAACTTCCAGGGATGAACAACCTTAATGTGTAGATGGTAGTAAAGGAAGGAATTTTTGCTGCAACCAAATTTTACAGAATTATGGCCCTTTGTTGATTTTTAGTTTTCAACTTGTGGCACATGTAGTCCAAAAAATATTTGACCTAGAGTCATAAGATTGACAGAACAGTTGCGTGTGGGGGCATCCGTGTCCTATGGACACATTTCTAGTTTAGTAGAAACATCCCTTGATGTTGCCCCAGCCAGTGTTATATCCTCGTAACTAACTCGTTTCATATACTATAACTATTACTTCTCTATTCAAAACTCTTTACTCCACAATAACAGGTAAAAGTAACACCGCAATGATAGGTACATTGATAACTTGTTTTTAGTCCCCTACCGGTTTACCGGAGGGGACTTTAGGTTTACCCTCCGTCCGTCCGTCCGTCCGTCCGTCAGTCCGTCCGTCCACAAAACTGGATCCCGCGATAACACAAAAAGTACTGAAAATATTTTAATGAAACTTGGTATATGGATAGATGGCAGTATGGAGATTATGCACGTCTTTTTCTTTTCTTCCTATGTTGAAAATTCTGGTTGCTATGGCAACAAATAGACTGAAAATATGGCAAATTTTACACATAACCTGGATCCCACGATAACGCAAAAAGTACTGAATTTTTTTTTATGAAACTTGATATATGGATAGATGGCAGTCTGAAGATTATGCACGTCTTAAAATTCTTTTCTTCCTATGTTGAAAATGTTGGTTGCTTTGGCAACAATTAGACTGAAAATATTTCAAATTTAACAGAAAAACTGGATCCCGTGATAACGCAAAAGTATTGAAATATTTTTATGAAACTTGACATATGGGTAGATGGCAGTATGGAAATTATGCACATCCTTTTCTTATCTTCCTGTGTTGAAAATTCTGGTTGCTATGGCAACAAATAGACTGAATTTCAAGATTTCTGATTCTAGTTTTTAAGTTTTTTCACTATAAGTTCTTTATTTCTTAAGGTATTTTCTTCAAACTTTAAAAATAAGTTGCTAGTCATCAACCACATCATATGTGACAAAGTTTACAACTCTAGCACAAAATTTATCAGAATTACCTCCCTTGAACTTAAAATTTTCATGAAAAAAAACATTGTTTTTTTAATAACTTCTTTTTTTCTGAACGTATCTACTTCAAACTTCATATAAATGTTTCTTATTATCACTCAACATTTGTGAGTGTTCAATATTCTAGCAAGACTATTTCCAGAATTATGCCCCTTTTGAACTTAGACTTTTTTTTGAGAAATTGGTAATTTTTACTCCAACTTCTTCAATCATGATAGAATTTTCTTCAAACTCCCACATCATTATAATATGACAAGGTTTATAAATCTAGCATCCATATTTCCAGAATTATCTCCTCCTTAAACTTTTAATTTTTCCTATTTGTTCTTTTAACTTTTATTTACTTCAATTTCAAAATAAATATTCAATATTCATACCTTCATTACTAATTGTTCTTTGTTACACTCACATCATGTATGACATCGTTATCTCAGTTTTTTTTTCAATTTTGCTTTTAAAATGTTATATTTTGATAACAGGGATGTTTAAAAAAT